CCATTCTGCCAATAGATCCTCCTAAATGTTACACACTGGACCAAAATCATGATAACCTCCCTTTTCTTTTGCTTTTTCCAGCAGTATTCAAGCAGTTACCTTCTCTTATGGCTGTAAAGGGCGTCCCTTCCTCCTCTTGCAGACGAATCACCTTCAGAGCCACCAGTTTCCCATTCACCCTGGCAACAACACACAGGACAGAAGTATGGTAATCCCGCCTTTTATTTTTGTGACATGAAAAAAGAATCTATTAAAATCGGTGAAGCCAGCGAACAGCAAGGATTGTTAAGTCAATGAAATGTAATTTAGCAGCAGTGGAGTGAGACCCGCATACAAGGCCACAGGATTACAACTGAATGAAGCTCACCAATCAAAGCCGCTGTAGTGAGGCGCACACTAACATCATTACTGAGAAGATTAGAGTCTGCGGACTTTCGCACATTTACAGTATGCAAACTTTTTCATTTTCTCCAATTTAATTAGCAAAACCTTGAAGGAAAGCACCACACCATGTAAAGCGGAATGCAAGTATTGAGTCGGTGAATAAAAACATCCATCCTGTAGTGATTAAAATAGACATTGCATGTGCGGGATTTACAGCTCTACAGAGAGGAGAAAATATTATTTACATAAAACTAGACTGTGTAACTGTTATTGCTGTTCCATTTAATAAATTCATTCAGCGACAGCGTTGCTCCTGTGTAATTAAATGTAATATCCACGGCCTGCATGAGTGGCTCTTGTGAAGTATAAAGAAGAGTGACTGGATTAGGCCTGATTCGACAAGCACGCACTACTTACTTGCTCTTTCCTTTGTAAACTGTAGCATATGAACCCTCTCCCAGTTTCTCCAGCTTTTCGTAGGAATCTGCCTTTCCAAACTTGGGGCTTGTGGGCTGAGGGGAAAAAAAAGAGAGAGATATGAAAAGGTAATATAAGAGGATGAATTTGGTAACCCAGAAAAACAAACTCTCAGAGGATTTCACACAAGACATCGCAAGTCTATGAGAGATATTAAAATCTGGAGGCTCCCCACTGCATCGTCTGGGAGGTGTAATGTCACTGAGGAGGAGGAGAGAGAATTTCTTCTTCTCTAAAGACTGCTCTTCGTTTAATCGTCAGCTCATAACTTTTACATACTTTTCATTGTCAACAGTTTGCAGAGGAAGAGGTATCAACTTGAAGAAAATGAGGCCGAGAACTGAATGTTTTCAAACCCAGCTGGTATGAAAAAGGGATATCTCAACTTAAAGACTTTAGCTTTATTCTTTCTCTGTTGGCTGGTGTAGGGAAAGGACTGCACTGAGGTGGTTTTGATTATCTGGTTGTTTTCACACATAACTGACCAACCCTGGTGTGTTTACCAGGCTGCTGCGGTTCCATTGGACTGGTGTGAAAGCTGTCAACCCAACAGAGACTGCTTAAAAAGGAGGGTCTTGGTCCAGTGGCAGGCGGACTCTGGTACGGCGTGTTTGTGGTGTGTAACCAGTATTCTATGAGCACATGTGTGATTTTAGCATGATTTTAAAAGCTAAAGTACTGTTAAATCCATGGGCTGATTGTGAACTGTTCAGAAGGTGATCTTAGGCCATTAGTTATTTGGTAACCATGGTTAAGCGTGAAGGAAACTAGTTTGGATGATTGAAATACTTACGTTCAGCAGCAGCAAATATTCCATTACTTTGATTTTAACAAACAAAACTGGATTCTTTATTTTTTGGGCCTTTTATTGCCTTTTATTTGATAGTGACAACTGAACATAGACAGGAAAGGGGGGCAGAGAGAGAGGAACTAATCCTTTTTTATAGTTTTGTGACAGGAAAAGAAGTGACAAACCTCATTGGGGACTTTGTGTCCATTGGAGGTCCTATGATTGAGATGGACCATTTTAGTATTGCTGCTCCTTTACAATGTATTTACAGCGTAGGTTGTTCTTATCATAATCATTTATGTCCAAGTGTTTCTGATAAGTCTGGTGTTAATTAAAGTTAAGAAATGGGGTTTCACGCCATGTTTGACGGCTGCTTGCAATTAAATTGGCCAGGCGTATGGGCCCTGATCACTACTGCAGAGATTCTGGCTCCAAATGACGTCACCAGCGAAAGATGCGTGCCCATATCTAGGATACTTTGGCTTCATTTTTGTACAGTGGGAAGAAGTGGAGATATGTCGATGGTTGGCATACACCTTTCATGTTCATTCTTAGACGATGACGTAGCAAGGCACAAATGCACACCAGTGAACATTTATCTTGAAGTTAATCCCAGGCTCTCTTGGCTCCAAACATCACAACACACACACCTCTACAGAATGTGTAAAGCATGGTGCAGTGTGTGCTACATCTGCACTGTCCTCACTGCTTTATATTC